CCCCCCCCCCCCCCCCGTCCCAGCTCAAAGTCCACATCGCTATCCACCACACCATCCATCGCTGTCGGGAGCTTAACCGTGGACACCTCATATGAAACTTCCCTGCACTTTTTAACATATAACACCCTTTTTTGGTTACCGTTCACTTTATTTCCAAAGCGTAGTCCACTGGCGCCTTCTACTGTGCGCCCAGTCGACGCCATGAATGAAACAAACGACGTTTAGAGGGTTACAATGGCAAATTCTGACAAAATCATTTTCGCTCCTTTTTTGGTATCAGAAGGCCATTTAGCGGAAATGAACCATAGTTCTATGCTCAGTGCTCATGCCCCTATACCATGCAAAAAACCATTTTCAAAAAGCGTCCCACGCCTTGGAAGACCCTCCTTATGTCTCTTCCATGGTGTCCGCCACAAGAATAGAAAAAGAGACAAGAATAATAATTGGCACCGGGGAGGTCCACCAGCCCACTGTTTTTTACATTCTTTGCTTTTTCCTTTCCGTTGGTTCTCTCATATATGAACACTACAGAAATAGTAGTAGTATATTGATGCATAATTATTGCGGATTTTTTTCGCGGCTTCTTTTCTTTCGGTACCACCAACACTGATTTTGGGATTTTTACGTTTCCTCGAGGGTGGTTGGTATACCCGTGTTTCGTAGTTTCGACAAGCCTCTATGACCCCTTTGTGGCGAAAGGGCATCATTGCTGACTGATGCGGGTAGTTTCGCGGGGGACTGCTGCGCTATGCAAGTGGGTGGCCTTAGAGGGTTCTCTGTTAGTGTGCACTCACCATAGTGACCGCAGAATCCCTACGATTTTCGGTTCCTAGAATTATGTTTGTTCTTTCTGCTACTGATGTGAGGTCTGCTCTCCTTTCTTTTCATTTGCTTTTTCTTTTTTCTCTTCTAGTTATTTGAGTTTTTATTGTTTTGCCCTCCTCTTTACTGGTATGGTCTATGGTGAATATAGCACGCCAAGAGCGTACTAAATTAAATGAAATGAGTTCTGCCCTTCTGCTAGCCTCTACCCACTTTTGAATGGTTTTGGTACGTTATGGATCTTATGTGTTTATGGATCTCTTCTATTGTCGCCGCCATGTCTTGCTCCAACTCCTTCTATTGTGCGATAGTTGTCCTTCACGGGAATCTGGAGAAGGAAGTCTCAATTCTTCTGGGTACTGCCCCTCTGTATTGCTCCCTTTGCCGTTGCGCCATTGTGTAGCGGTCAGTAATGCTTCTATCCCAGGATTGTTTATGAAGGATTCAAAAGAATAGCTGATCCTCAATCTGAAAGGACAGACTGATCCTAGTTAATCAAGCAAAAGCATAAATCTTTTGTTGATCAGTATTATTTTGCGGCCGCTCATTGAACTTAGCCAACAAAAGCAGCGAACGCCTGTTTTCGTTAGAACCACCATTGATCTCTGGAGCAGTAGCAATATCCAACAGCTTTTTCCTCCTTACAATAAGTTGGACATTCTCAGATACATAGGTTCCAGTGGGACCATTAATCCGGCTTTGACCATAAGGAAAGTTTTACATCATTGTAAAAATACTGAGTCTATGTGGGAGATGCCGGGCATCTCAGTACCGCCTAGCTCTGAAAAATTTTGCTCATGTTATCGTGGAGTTTGCGGTTCTAGCACTAGGAGAGCAGGAGTTTTCCGGTCAAACACACACCGACACACCCACATACGAACGCACACACACCGACACACACCGGGTATGGGTACATACGTGCGTCCGAGCATGCGCGCGGCAAATTGCGCGGCGAAATTCGTGATGATTCGAACGACTCTGATGCCCATTATTGGGGCACAATCTTGAAGTACAGTAGTTTAGTAGGGTCAGCCGATCCTACTTTTCGACTCTACTTCAAATTTGGGTCCCAATGGTGGGCGCTAAAGTCGGTCTAATCGCCACGAACTTCGTCACGCGATTTCCGCGCACACCCTCGGACGCGCGTAAGTTCCATCCCCCACACACACCCACATACGACAGAATTACACCGACACATATGATGCGCATATATACAGGGTGTCCCAAAATTATGGGCGCCAAGATTCAGAAATTTCTAAGGTAGAAATAATATATCAAATTCACGCCACTTGTTATTAACCCATTGGCGACCGCGCCTTTTTAGCGTGTCTGGCGTGTGGGACCGAGCGCGCTTTTCGCGGGCTGCTGCTGTGGCCTGCTGGCGGGCCACACGGCCTCGATAAGTTCAAAATGATTCTTCTGAAATCTTTACTTCAAGCAAGATATCTTCAGTGAGCCTCCTCTCCAAGAGCGATTCATAAATTGGAAAAATCTGAGAGCGGTTCGAAAGAAAGTAGGAGAAGATGCACAGGTTGCTACATTTAACTACGAGAAGAAAAAGGTCGCTCTTATGCCATGAATCATGCAAAAAAGTCTCGTTAAGGTGCAGCAAATGCCACAAATACTTTTGTATGGAATGTTTTCTAAGATGTCACAAGAAGTAATTTTTTTGTTGACAGCCTTTGGTTTTGCTCCTTTACCAATGCCCTCAGAAGTGACATCGTTTTCTCTTATTATTAAAGTCAGAAGTAAACGTTTGACGGGCCACTGCGCGTCAGAATTCTGTCGTAGGTCATAAACCTCCTCGATACTTGAAAAGGTCAAGAAAATCGAAAATGAATGTTACACATGGAAAATAATACTGTGGCCCGGATACGGGCCACGCGGTCCCAGGAGCACGACAGGGCGTGGCCCGTATACGGGCCACGCGGTCGTCAATGGGTTAATTAGTTGCATAAGAAGGTTTCCTTGCAATATGCATGGCTGCTGATGTGGAACTCCCACTATCTTTCAGATGGAGGAGGCTCATTCAATGCCATGCAATCATTGACACGCGAGAGGTGGAAGGGCATTATGAAATTCCTTGGGATTTTTGTAATAACCATATAGGAGGCTACTAAGCGATACAGAAAAAAAGCTTGAATCAGAGACATACCAGATAAGGTAGAAAGGTAGAATGTTCCTGAAGATAAGACTATTAAAATGGTCCGTCTCTCAATCGGTCGGGACTCTGGGTGACCCATCAAAAGGAAGTCAATGGGCACGGCTTACAGGAGTTATCGCGATGGAAGAATGTCATGCAGGAGCTTCACTGCCGTTCCTATCGTATGCAGAAATTTCGCTTCAATTCCGATCTCAACAGATACTGCCAGGCCAAAAATGCAGAAAGTCGAAAGTGATGACACGCAACCCTTCGTCTTTTTCTCTGGTCAAAAAATTTTTAACAATAAAGCCACTCCCCAACAACCAAAGGTTCGCGTCCTGGAAAGAAACGACTAGCGTGTAATATCTCACAAAAAGGTTGCTATCAGAATAGTAAAATGATACTTTCCGAGGAAATCACTGGCAAGGGTAAGCCGCTCATGGTTTCTTCTGTGCAGGCATGAAAATTGACCAAGACCGGTACCCAAAAGGCGTACTGATGGAAGTAAATGAAACATTGATCCGACTACGTTTCCTGAAACATCTCGTAGTCCTTCCAGCAGGACGCTTCTCCAGCTCACAGAGCCAAGCTTGCCCGCGAGTGGTGCCGACGACAGCTGCCCGACTTCATTGGTGAAGAGAGATGGTCATCCTATTTTCCAGAACTTGACTGACATGACCCCACGACTGGTCCCTGGTTAGAAGAGGACCTGTCGAGTTTGCAATCCCAGTTTGGAGTTCTAGAATGCAAAGGCTGAAGAATGGCTTTGAAGAAATGGAGGAGGATACCTGCGTGCCACATGCGATCAAGTCGAGAGCAAACTTTGACTTCTATCCGCGATCATGGGGGATATTTTTAAAGGAGACTGTAGCATGCTGTAGCACATAGTGTTGGCTAACGTGCACAGGGATTCCATCGTCTTTCGCAGCTGAGAATTTTGAAATATATTGCTATAAATCGGCGCGAATAATTTTGGGACACCATGTACATATATACATCTATACAGCGCTTTATGTGTGATAGGATATACGATTTGGATGACTATGTGAACCAGCATCGGTTACAAATTTGTGGTGAGGCAGATGGGTCGTCTAACGATGGAAATAGTGATGAAAAGATTATCCTTTGAAATATTATAAATGATTACTAACGACGACCATTAATATCAGGTTGACGCATAATTATTGCGGACTCTTTCGCGGCTTCCTTTCTCTCGGTAAAATTCAACTCTTGAATTCGGGATTCTTAAAGAAATAATCTTCTCGCTTTCCTTAACAGAAAAATGTCTTGAATGTCATCTTCTTATACGACACATTATGCTCTATTACTTCGAGAAATGTTGGAAGGCGGCACACTCATAAGTGATCTTAACGAACTTCTCGGCGATGGAACAGTCAGCCAAAGCTGAGCAAGGGATGGAATCTGCTTCTGCGGTCGCCCTATTCACCAACAAATACGTCAATCGCCGTTTGAAAAATTGGTTAACGAACACAACTTTCGGTGAAATAGATGGCTTGTTGGNAAAAAAAAATGCAAGCCTTGACATTAACATCGTTTTGTGGTTGCAGGGACCAAAGCGAGTTCGCGAACTTTTCGACTTCGATGCATTTTCAAATCGGCTTGACCATATTGTGAGAGGCAATGAACATGACTGACGAATAGCTGGATTTCTATTGTGGTATATTGACTCCTTCAGCTTCAAGGTTGGCAAGAAAGTTCTGCGATAAAGAGAAGTTCATTTTGGGTTCATCTGTAGAACTTTCCAAATTAATCAAATGTAGAAACATGTTAACCAGAAGAATCAGCAGACTTCTCTCTCCAAATTACTGATGCCTTTCGCCCAGAAGTCAGAGAGCCGTGGCTCGAAGATGTCACTGACTGCCGTTTCAGATCATGTTATGTTACGAACTTTCATCCCTCAAGGGAATGCCTGAAGAGGCGAGCACATGGTAAACAAAAGAAGCAACGTTCCGGGAGTACAAGTGTGAACATTCTGGAACCATGCGACTCAGATGACATTTTGACGAGTGTGTAAAGCGTACGTTAACGTACGTTGTCGCTCTGTAATAACCTGATTGACTATGGAGGTCTTTCTTTGGCTGCGTTGGCCAGCCAAATTCTAGGCTCATAGAGGTAAGCGACAGGTGCGGCTATCTAGTCCGCGTTTAACTACTCATAATGCATGGGTCCCTTTACGCCCCACAAAACAGTGAGACGATGCTCGCGTTACTTCGAAAGCTAGTATCTCCTACGGTGAAACCGTTCAATCACTTGTTGGCCGTTGATCTTTGATCAAAGCTCCCAATGAAAAGTTTGCTTATAATTTGAGCCGCTACGCTCTTTCTTCCCTCGGCGTGCCCATCAGAAAATGATGGTTCGAATCTAGTGTTCTGCATTCATAGATAGTAACGTTGCGGGAGTAGATCGCAGATTTTTCTTGCCAAACATATTTGTTTTTCTGGCTCTTTCTGATTTATTTATTGTAAATTGGTTTTTGTTCTGTGCGTTCACCCGTCCCTTTACGGAATGCCAATGTTATTAAGTTGTTCATAAAGTTTCGCGCCACTATGGTTATGCTCCTTGATACTTCTTTCCACTATTGTGATCAGTTATTTTTATATCGGTATAATATTAATAAATGTGAATAGTAAAGATATAAGTGCTCCGTCTCTCATGACTACATCCTCTCTGGAATTTCGTTCATATTTGGGAAGAACTGTTCTCTCTATCATGTATAATAATTAAGTTTTCCAACAGAATTTTTAATCTTCACTCCTTTAAATGATGGTCAACGTGCATATAGTAAATACATTACAAGGTGTAGTACTGTTGTTTGGTTGGTTAACGGAAGCTTTCTCCAAATCTCGACTTCAATTGCTTTTCAAGATCTGTCAAGTCAGTACACATACATATCTGTCCCACTTCACCGACTTTGCTCTTTCCCGTTACATTAGTAAGATGTCTTGCGAATTTATGTAAAAGAATCAATTGCTGTCGTTCAAATATTGATATCAAGAGAGTAAGAGTGACTGCAGAGTAGTTGCTCTGTAAAATTGCAAAGTGGGATAAGGTGACACTGCTACACGGACCCATCGCTTCGAGATTCTACTCACGCTATAAGCTTCACACATCACGAAACTTCAAGTACAAACACTCATTCCTTGGCTGTCGTTTTGTCTATTGTTCTTTGCTTGATAAAATATGGCAAATTACTTGAATTCTCGTGCAGCTCAGTTCTTTTAATATATGGGAGTTGCAAATCACAGGTGCGATCCTCGTTGAGCACTTTTAGCACTCTGGCCTTTGAGCACAGCGACAGAGAATCTTTGCTCGAATCCCACTTTCACAGGCCCCTCGACGGTACGCTGACCGTTAATAATTCAAATTCAAATTTTATTACATGCAGGACGCGTGTAATAGAGCAAATCATCTATAAGAAGGAAAAAGAAAACATTTATATAAACAAATCCGAGAACGCTGGAAAGAAGAGAAACAACTGAATGCATGCGAAAGGACAAAAGTGAATAACTGGTACACGTAACAAAAAAACTAATTAGCAAGAGAAAAATTTCTATCTACCAGTTTCTAAAACCTGCAATGGAACCCGGCGCCGTACACTTTTTGGTAATTTTTAAGAAATCAGGTCCAGCTTTGAAAGTGAAGAAGTTTCTACTCACGAAAGAACATGGTCTACGAAGAAAAATTTTTAGTGGTTGACCCCGTGTTGATGACGGATATAATTTAAAGAAATCTCCAGATTTGAGTTCAATCAAGCCATGGAGAATTCTGAATATCATTAAAAAATCATTTCTCATTCGTTGGAGCTTAAGGAAGTCTAATTTAAGCATAGTGTTCCTTATGATACTTTGCGGAATGCTGCGATACGTGAAGACCAATAAACGGCTAGTAAAACTTTTGGATTCTCTCAATGCGATTTACCGAAGCTTTCTTACTAGGAGAGAAGACACACGTACCATATTCGAGCATAGGTCTAACATAAGTTTTCTATGCTAAAATGAGAAGCTGCGAATCCTTGGAGCACAGAGATTTGAACGAAAAAAAAGGCGTTGTTTTGCTCCATTAGCAATGCTCTTACAATGCTCATCAAACGAGAGTTTATTGTCCACAATGAACCCTGGATCCCTCACTGATTCCTCATCAACTTCACTAAAGACGACGCCTGACAAGAGATAATCAAATCGACGATTATTATCCCCAAGATGAAGAACAATCATTTTTCCGGAGAGAGAAAAATGCACCAGACAAGAGATAATCAAATCGACGATTATTTTCCCCGAGATGAAGAACTTTCGTTTCTATGGAGAGAGAGAAAGGCACCAATCCTGAGACCATCGAGAAACAGCATGCAAAGCAGATTGCAGTCGCAAATAGCTATCAACATTTTGCATTTTAGAATATAATTTGAAAAATGCACCAGACAAGAGATAATCAAATCGACGATTATTTTCCCCGAGATGAAGAACTTTCGTTTCTATGGAGAGAGAGAAAGGCACCAATCCTGAGACCATCGAGAAACAGCATGCAAAGCAGATTGCAGTCGCAAATAGCTATCAACATTTTGCATTTTAGAATATAATTTGACCAGTCGCATTGCCCAGCTGTCGCCGGGCATGCTCCTTCTTATTTAATAGGATCAAAGATTGGCACAAACAATTGAGTGGAGCTCATACATTAAAAAACATTAGACCCACTCAAAAGTGTCAGACTTAGTGGGACGGTCGAAATTGCTTACATCCGCGGAAAGATGAAATTCCTTACCTTACCTTGCCAACGCAAACAGCAGGAGTATAATGGCATCAGGTCCATAATAATCATGCGACACTTATTTCTTTGAAACTTCCTCTCACATGAAAGGTTACAATTCAGTATGAACCGTGCTCTCAATCGGTTCATAGAGAACCGCATTCTCCCGGAGACGTATTCTAGCGGAGAAAAAAAACGCATGTTTGAAAACACATACCGTCCCGAAATTTTCGCTCAAATTTAGGTCAGATTTACCGGAGCAGCCTCTTCGAAAAAGTTT